AGAACCTAAGTTGAATTATTTTGATTAGATATACATTATAAACGTTGAACACATAACATAGCACTATGATTTTCAAACAAGGAAACAATAATTTATTGTTGGTTGAGCATTTCCTTAAGTTTGGCAATTTCTAATTGCTGATTCGACACTATTTCTTTTAACTTCATAATTTCAGAAAACATAAACTGCATTGGTTCAGAAACTGGGGCAAATGATGAAATAGGTGGGAGGGTATTATTTACAGGGATTGGAGTTGTCATCATTGCATCGCCATGACTCACTACAGTAGTTTGATCTGTTTCAATCTTCACTTTCTTATCAGAATCATTATCTTCATCATCTCTCTTTCTCTTTTGAGATTCAACAGAAGAAGATGTAGAAGTCACTACAGTTCCTGGCTCAATATACAATTTTCTCTTAGTGTCCTTATCAAGTTGCAATCTACTTCTGGATCTAATCCAGAAAAAGCTGGAAACTGCAATACATTCATCATCTTGATTATAAATTTCAATGTAACCTATTCTCGATGATGAACTTCCCTTCAAGGTTGTAATCTTTTGTGGAATTGTAACTGTACACTCGAATGTTGTTAAATTATTCATATTATTAGGTTTAAAAGCTTCAGATGAAACTATAACACCATCTGCAGAACCATCCTTCAATTTCAATTTACAAGTACATCTATTAAAAGCTTGAGATGAAATATGGAGAGAATCACGAATAGTGAGGTTATGTGAAGTATCTGGAGGAGCTTTCTTAGAGTCATTCAAAAGGAAACCTTCTTTACAAACAAATGAATGAGATGGAATTTCACCCTTCCAGTAGTTAGAGAAACTCAAAATTGGGATAGAGGAAGTATTCTTTGAAGGTGTAGATCTTTTTGGTTTTTGTTCTTCTCCAACAGCGCTATTCTTTCTCGTAGTAGTTATATTTGAAATATTTTGGAAGGTTTGGATTGGTTTGATTTCTGATGGACACATTTCATCTCCTGATGATGAACTTGAGCTAGAGTCAGAAAGATTAGATTGTTTTGCTCTTATCAACTCGTTAGTCTTCATCAATTTCTTTTGATGTATAGAAGTTAATGGCATTGTTTTGATAGAGTTATCCATAGTCGAAATTGATTGAATTGCAGCTGGTGCAGTATTATTAGTTATTGGTTGTTTAACTATTTGAAATGGTTGGGAAAATGGATTAGTATATGCTTGAGCTCCAACAGAATTGAGTACAGATTCTGGTTTGAATGGAGATGATGTAATACTAGTATTGGTTGGATTGTTAGTAGGATTCATTAGAAAGAAAGTTGGTGGTAAAGGCTTTTCAGAAAGGTGTGGCATGAATGAATGAGTCATATTGTGTTTGCTCTGATTTATATATCAGCTTGCGGAGTTGTGTGTATTGCTAAGTTCTTTTTAGAAGGACAAAATTTATAGTGTTGAATTGGAATGTTAGTCTTGTTTAAATTATCCTCTCTTCAGAGTAAGTATGTTGATATTCCTTAGAGGTTACGAGCGTGTGATTTTTTTTCTTGTTGATTTTGGAAAACAATTTTGCTAGCTTTATTGATGAATTCTTCACTTTGAGCTAAAAATAGATAGCGAACATTAACTTTTGTCTTCCAATTTCACGTTGGTTGAATATTAATGGGCAGGTTAAATTTAAAACGTGTTTTATCCAAATATTCAAAGACATCCATCACTTTCAAAGGATCGTTTGTTGTTGGTGGTCTAACTAATTATTGCGTTTTTGTGCATATTGATACGTTTGTGCATATCTCTTTGATATCAAAATCTTTGTTGTTGTTATTAATACTTCAATTTTGTTCCTACACCTTCAAGCTGGAAAGAAACCAAGTGACACTAATCTCTATGGTGAAACTGCGAGGTGAGAAATCGAAGGAAGTACGCATAAAATCTGTCGTTGAAAATTGAGGAATTTGGTAGGATTAGTGAGACCGCCCTTCACGGAACCTGACGTGTGGCGATGAACTTGGAAGAAAAAGAAGGAATTTAAATTAGGTGGTAAGAGTTGTTACCGATGTCTCGATTAAATGTGTGAAACAATGCTATTATAGAGGGCATCATCACAGTTGACAGGATTAATGATGTAATATTACAACGTGTTATGAACATATCTACGGTTCCTTTCCGTGATTGATTTGAATAACAGTGAAGAAGAGGAACTATCATAGTTCAACAGCTGAAATTCAGAACTGCACCTTCAAATCTACGGTAGAGCAAGGAATTCAAAATGTAAAAATAATGGTATGGTTCATCATTATCCAATAATGAAAATCATTAATTGTATATCAGTGTGAATGGGTGTTTTTGAAATCAAGCATTCCACTTCTAGTTTCTTGAAAATCGTCTTCTAATTGCCTTCTAAAATGATTAAGGATTATCTACCTAACTCCACGGATAGAAATTGCTGAACAGTAAGCATCCTACCATCGAAAAAGATATGAAATAGAAAATAATAAGCTGTTTCCATTTGGATTCCATTCCTAATGAAATGAATTGTCCAATAAACCAATACATTGCAGGAGTTGTAGAGGAGAGGAATCTTGTTAGAACCTGAACATGCATTAATAACAATCCCTGTAATAAGAGAACCAACCAGTAGAAAATATAAACGAAAATTTGGTTGTTGGTTTCGAATAGAGACTTTTCTTGAGGATGAGTGGGAAAGAGACCAATAGAGATGAATCTCATCTTGTCGTGTGAAAAGTATTGATAAATGGCTGTTAATGATATTAATATCTGTATTGAGGATTAATGAGAAATTAATAAGACGAAAATATACTTACCATAGGACTAGCAAGCAAGAAATTTGGAATTTGTTTGAATTCGTAATATTTGAATAGTCCAACATTCCAATATTTGCTTTGTACGTAACCATAGAGGTGAGGTAATGTTGATTGGCACCATGGATGATATTTGGAAATGTAATCCTTTCCAATTGGAGAGCTTAATCCGTTTTGAGCAGTGCAGAATGAGATATATCCATAATATTGAAATAATAAATAAGGTAACATTACGGATGCACATCCTACAATGATATATTTTACAAAATCAAAAAGAAAGTATTTGAATAATTTTGAAATTCTGTCTTCAGACTTTCTATTTTTCCATAAATTAAATTGGTCGAATATAAATTGATAAATGTAAAATCCACAAAGAGCTATTCCATTTCCTCTTGTTGCAGTTGCCAGGCAAAAAAATAGACATGATAGTACGTGTCTTTTCTTTGCATGGAAATACATTCCCAACAGTGAGAATAGGGAGAACATGCTCTCTGTATAGGCTACACTCATAAAAACAGTAGCAGGATTAATAATATACAGTAGAGTACTAATCTTGATGAGTTTCCAATTATTTCCAAATAGTTCCTTAGTCAGCTTGATAAATACATAAACCGAAATTATGAAACAAATATTCGAAATTAGTACTCCACTAATTACATAATCGTCTACATGATGTAATTGACTACCACTGAATAAAAATTCTCTAACAGGTTGAACAACAAACAATGTCAAATATCGTACACTGAAGGGAAAGAGAGGAAAGAAGGCAAAAAAATTCTCATATTCATAATAACCAACTTTTGCAATCCTCATGAAGAAAACACTATCCCAATGGGCGAAACCCTTTCCGAAAAATTGATTAGAATTTGTTTCATAATCAATGTAATTTGTTGTTGATGAAGAATTATTCAGAGAGGACATAACATAGGAAGATGAATCATAATCTTTCACAAGCCAATCATTTAATATTATCCATCCAATTATTACTATTCTAAATATCACTGTATAGAAGCAATATTTCCTGGTAATATTTTCTTGCTGATCAATTACTTGTATTGTGTTTTTAGTTTCATTCCGTGATGAAGAATTTTCTTGCATTTTTTAAAAATCAAATTGTGTAACGGCAAATTTCCTTTAAATTTAGATATTGAAAATTCCCTCCAAAAACGTAAACAACAAAAAAGATATTCAAAAATACATTAAGGCGGTAAAAAAAATGCATGAACAACGAAGTAGACATCATCATCACCATCACAAGATATCAATCAACAACACTGGAAATACATCAACATTATCGGCGAACAATAATAATAATGGTAATGGCAATAACAATGGTAATCGGAGGATAAAATACAACTTTTTTCATAGACTGGATGGAGTATCTTCGGGACAGAGAGAAGAGCCAGAAAGTATGATAGAAATAATGGAAAAGGAGGATGACCGAGTAAAAAAGGAAGAAGAAACAAGAAAACACTTTGAGGAAATTCACCGATTGGAAGAGGAAATGGATAAAAGACGAATAGTAAAGAATGAAATGAAAAATATGAGAGACAAGAGAAAACAAAAAAGGGAAAAAAGAATAGCCATGAAAGTTCTCTTGTTAATGAATGAAGAAAGAGCCAAGGAATTGAAACCTCAATTCATGGAATTCAAACACGGACGTTTATCAAGATATGATGTGAGTAGTTCATTTTATGAAATAATTAACTTTGGTAGTTTATGGCAGTTATGAAAGATTTTGTAGTAAAATATTCGGAAAAGGATTACGGTTCATTGAGTGAACCTCCTTCATCACCAATTGAGGAGGAGGCTTCATCCGCATTGACATATACTGAATACTTTCAAAATTCATCAGAGGATGAGAGAAATTTGGTTTTAAACTTGTGCGAGCTTTTTAATGAAATTGATTTTACTGGAGAGAAGTATATAACTTGGGATGATTTCATGTCATACTTGTTGGATGCTGTTTCGGATCAATCATCTAAGGAAGATCAAATCAAAGAATATGGCCTCTCGTTTACATCTCCTGGAAGTGATATCGATGATGCAATCAAAAAGATTTGTTATTTTGATAACTGGGACAAGATAGTGACATGTGGAAAAACTAAAAGATGTAGAATTTATGAGGCAAAAGATATGTCTGTTGTTGCATCTCTTCCAGACCATGATGGTGCAATTTTAGATGCAGAATATTTACCAAATCCTTATAATTTATTAGTGACAAGTTCTGCAGATCTGAGTGTTCGTTTTTGGAATACATCAAGGCTAGAGTTTGATTTGGAATATTTGGAACAGCAAGATGTTACTCAAACAGCCATTAAATTTTATCCAAGGAATAATATTCTATTCACAGCATCAAGAACTGGTGATCTAACATACTGGGTTCATGGTATTCCTCCAAATGACTATAGAAAAAAAGCTCATCTAGACAAAATTACAACAATAGGTGTAACTCCAAAGTATCAAAAGCAACAAAATAAGGATAGTTCAAGGGAGGTTTTCTATCAAAGCAGGAGGATACCAAATCTCCATCAAGATGTCATTACAGATATGATAGCCCTTCCAATGGATAATAGAGTAGTGACAAGCTCTCTAGATTCTACAATCAAAATTTTTGATGTGGAAAAGGAGGTGAAAGTGAAAGAGTTTTTAGGCCACAACAAGGGTGTTGTTTCCATAGCATGGACTAACGAATACCATTTCTTAATTAGTGCTGGGTCTGAAAGAGAGCCTCTTGTATGGATTGCCAATGTGGAAAATAGATCACCATTCAGATTGAGAGATCAAAGAAGCCCTCACCAACACTCTTTGATTGGTGTTTATGCAGTTCCTAATACTCCTCAAATTATTAGTGCTGACCATAGAGGTTTAATCAAGATTTGGGATATCAGAACTCACAGATGCTGTCAAACAATTTACACAGAGCAAAATCTTCCCAAAACCGATTTCCATAACTTTTACCTGAATTCTTTTGCCTACATGAACCAGAGAAAGCAGATTGTCACTGCTAGTAGAACAATCAAATTATATGAATATGAAAGAACTGAGAAACCAAAGGGTGCCGATGATTATCCACTTATTTTAGCACTTTATAATCCATCAAATCTCCATTTTATGTCATGTTCCAGAAAAGGAGTCAAGCTGTGGGATGCTCTTAGTGGAGCTTGTTCTAAAAATTTCAGAAATATTTCAACAACAGATATTACAGCAGCATGCATTGATGACAGAGGAAGAAAGTTTATTGTTGGAAATCATTCAGGAGAAATTATTTGTTATAATTTCTCTAATGCCAGTCTCGTTAAACAAATGAGTATTTTCCAAAGCGAAATCACAAGTCTTACATACTGTGACGATGGATCGAAATGCATTGTTGTTGGTTCAGCTGATGGAAATGTAGCTATAGTTTTGGATAAGACTAATTATGAAGTTAAGGAACTCAAATTTGCCCACAAGACAGAAGTAAAATGCTCCTCCTTCTCAAGAACCTATGCTATAACAGTAACAGGAGACGCTTCATCTTATTGCTTCCTTTGGGATATGAAAAATTATTCCAAATTGGCAGAAATCAAAGGTCAAGGTGGTGAAATTACAGCTCTTTGTTTTATGGGTGTTTTACCTGCTTTTATTGCTGCTGAGAATACTGGACGACTCATAATGTATACAACCAGACCATTCCATACACCAAACATCCCTATTGTACAGTGGTTCAACGAATCTAAAACCGAAACAAGACAAGACTCTTCACAAAGCGATAACAGATCATTTATTACTGAAACACCAGCAACAACCTCTACCCCATTTTCTAATTTATTCTACCCTTCCATTGTTTTAAATGATGACACATCTAGCTTGAAATCAGGTAACACAATTCCAGTTGAACCAAACAGAAACCAACTCTATCATATTGTCACTGCTCTTGAGTATGATTTTACATGTAACAGATTAATTACAGGAGACGAGAAAGGTTTTATTTGTGTATATGATATGGAGAATATTGTTGAGGAAGCTCAGATTAGATTATCTTCAAGAATGTCTCTAGGTCCAAAGATTCCACTTTCTGAGATTTCAAAATTGAGACCAGAAAAAATCGCTAGATTTAAGGCCCACACGGATGCCATTTCAAAGATTCAAATTATCAGAGAACCATATAGTATTCTAACTTCTTCATTGGATTCTTGTTCTGCCATTTGGACATTTAATGGAGAGTTAATGGACTCTTTAAGACAAGAAACTAAGGAGTGGAATGACGTCGAGTTTGAAAAGATTATGAACGATCCAACAATTGTAAATCCAAAACCATTCAATTTCCCTATTAACCTTGAAGAAAGAAGAAAAGAAGATGCTCTTACTGTCTCTGGAGTGATTGAGAAAATTACAAAACAATTGAGATTAATCGGTATTTGGAAATCTACGACTAGAGAAAGCAATTCATCCAAGAAGGATGTTATATCCATTCTTAACACATTTGAAAAGTCATCTTCTTCAGCCATGTTTATGCGAAGAGGCTCTAGATCTAGTCCTCTAACCAGTCCATCTGTTACCTCTTTCCAATTCGACACCAAGAAGGTAGAAGATCAGACACCTCCTCCTGAGGGTGTTTTCAATAGAATCTCTCGGTCTCAATCACCAATAAGAACGCCATCACCTTCTCTTCTTTCCACAATGCCAAACGGATCCTTCTTGAAACGAAAGTTCAGTACCAATTCACTATCCACCAAGTCAGATTCTGATTCCACCCACAATACAGTTCTAGTTGAAAGAAGAGCTACTACTACAGTAACTAAAAGCAGAAAAAAGCCAATGTTGGCCCTTGTAACACCTGTTAAAAAGTAAATGCTACAATATTTTAAATAATTATTACTGTTAATTGCATTTTTTATTTCTAAAATTCAAAAGTGGCAAATAATTAAAATTTCTGTTTTGGATCAAAGGTCTAAAAATGGTCTCATTGGAAGAAAACAAAAAAACACTTTTCTAAACTCTTTGTCATCAACAACATTGAAAAAAATCCCTCACAAACCAAACATACAATGCCAATCCCACAAACTTGTGCCGAACTCAAAGCTTCTACAAGCCACTCAAAGCTCGTTGTTGTTACACCAGAAACAACATTGGATAAGTGTTGTAAGTATATTTAATATTGATGATGATAATTAAAATCTTCAAGTGATGGCTATGGTCGAAAATGATGTAAGTGTTTCGGAAGTAATTGTTCAAATATATGATGATCATTAAATAGGTTAGACATTTGGTAGTAGTTTCAAGCGAAGATAATGGAAAGATTGTTGGTCTCATTTCTGAAAGGTAAATATCTAATAATATTTAATATTGATTGATCATTGTATGCAGAGATATTCGTCTTGCTATCGGATCACCATTGATCCACAAGGATATGGATATTAAGAAGGAAATTGATGAATTTTCTAAACAAGTTGCCAGCTCAATCATGACAAAGAATGTTTTCACTGTTAAGGAAAATGATTCTATTCTTGAAGCTGCCAAGATTATGAGAGTTTCTAGAATTGGTTGTTTGCCAATTGTCAATGATGCTGATTCTATTGTTGGAGTCATTACTAGATCTGATATGTTGGATCAACTTATTCGTGTTTTGGAACCTAAGGAATAAATGTATATAAATTGTATAAAGATAGTTGTAGATTAGATTCGGAAAAGAGGCAACAGAATTTAATTGAGTTAAAATGGATTACTTTCAATTAAAGACAATTGCTAAATACGCTCTGTTGAGTTGTTAAATAAAATCCTAAGTTTAATTTGCCAAATGGAAAACTTCAAACAAAAACAAAATGGTCGACAAGAAAGATAGTAGCATTCCAGAGTTTCTCTTAGATAATCCTTCCTCAAACAAGGTAATGAATCAAAACGAGCAGGCCAAGTTGACTGTCCTGGTAAAGGACCCACTTGCTGCAGAAGTATCACAGGAAGGGTCCTTAAAAGAAAGAGAGGTTGGCATGCTTGAGAAAGGCATTCATGAAGTGAAGAAGGTGTTTTCAAGTGAACCTTATTCGAAAGAAATTAAAACATCGAAAGAAGAAACTCAAGAAGAACCACAAGAATCTAAAGGATTTATTGGAAAGACACTCGAACTGTTAGGTGTTGGAAAGAGTGAAGATAAATAAATTATTGGTTTGATTATTCACATGATGTTTCATCCTCTGGATTGTAAGAGAATTCTTTTGCAAATGATTTAGCAGATTTGTAATTCACATGTTCACTTGTTTTATCTTTCCCCCAATAGATTTTATCTTTAAAGGTATTGTTATGCAACTGATATTCCAATAAATACTTACTGCATCCAGAACATCTAAAGAAATTATTGTAAGTTTTGTAAACACTTGGGAAAACTTCATCCTTAATTGATTCCTTGTCAATACTAACAATATGGTGATTACATTGAATGCATATTGTAAATATTCGATCCTCCTCAAATTCAATCTTGAAGAATTTCACAGTTTCATTGATCATTTCTTTAGAACTTCTACTCTTTACAAAATAGTAAATATAGTCGAATTCTTCAGTAGTTTCTTCTTCCTCTTCATCTTCCTCTTCACTGCTATATTCCTCAAATTCCTCGAAATCTTCTCTATTAAATTCCAATCCTTGTTCCTTGTAAATCAATTCCAATTCTTTCATTTCTCTTTCATGATCTTCAGAAACAACTGTCTCTTTCGTTGAAGGTTTTCGATTCTTTTTCATCTCCTTCTTCTTTTGATTTCTCAAATCCATAGCTTTTCGTTGGTAACCAAGTTGATTAATTAGAGTTCTATTCTTTGTCAAAATAATCCTATTCTGAGTTCTGGCAATGTACAACATGTAATTAGTAGTCATGGATGAATCATAAAAACAGTTTCCTCCCAACATTCTAATATGTTTGGCCAATCTTCCCAAAGTTGCATCACAAACAAAAGCCAAATCAATTCCTTTCTTTTGTAAAACACGATCAGGAACATAATACTCATCAAACTTGAGAGGTTTCTTCCTCTTTTTTGTTTTTGCTTCCTTTCCGATATTTTCCTTCTTCTTTTCGTCATCTATATTTTCGGAATCATTCTCAACATCTATATTATCGTCATCATTATGATGAATATTATTACAATGGTCATCGTCATCATCATTAATACCACCATTAGATGAATTGGTTATTGAATTCTCTAATACAACAACATCTTCCTCTTTCTGGTGATGAGCGTCGTTACTACTTGAAGAATTGGTGCTGGTTTGTGGTAATTGCACTTTCGACATTTTTTTATTTTTGGATTTTGTTCGGTTTTTGGCGGAAGTGCAATTTTGAATTTACAATTGAGCTAGTTGAGTGATTTTGAATCATCTGAATTGTAAACAGCAGGATTTTCTTTAATTTGATTTATTTTCATTAATAAATATCTTGCATAACCTTATTGCCAAGATAACCATATCGGTCGGAGATTTTGGAATAAAAAAATTTTAATCTCTGATTGTTTAATGGAGAATTTGTTAATAAATAAATAGATAAATTTTAGTGTTTATTGTTGAAAATGAAGGGAAATATCAGTTAGGGAAAATAAGGTGTGTGAGGTAAATTTTGAAAGACCTGGTTGATCAGGAATAGTTTCATCTAGGAAGTGAACAAGATTGTTTCTAATTATTTGTGGCAGGTGTTTTCTTCTCATATCAGCACTGGTTAATTCAAAAAGTGGAATAAGGAACTTTGATTTTTCATTTTCAACTGTCATTAAAGGACCTCTCACATTACATTTACCTTCCATCAAATGTTTAACAAACGCACCAGAAGATACAATCTTTGAATTCTTATGGTCTTTAAGGATTTGTTCTCCTGATTTCCAACTTTGAATATAAACTTTAGTTTCGTTTGATTTGATAAGAATCTCATTTTTCACTAAGTTAATATACATTTGATTAATATTAGATCTGTAGTTTTGATGTACTGTTACAATACTATCCTTATTATTTTCAATATATATGGATGCAAATTTGGATTTGGTTTCGAATAGAGATTTCTCTTCTCCATTTCGAGCAATGAACAATTTGAAAGGACTAGCTCCAAAACTATAGAGCATTATAAGACATTTCGAATGTTCATATTGGCCTTCATTGAAGCGAAGTAATTTTTCTGCTCCTTCGTTATTTTCAAAATAAGTTCTCATTTCGAAGGTTCTATTACTATCACCAGCCATAGCTCCATGAATTCTGATCATGTCAAAGTTAGTTTCGCGGTTAGTATTGGATTCATTTGATGCACAAATTATGTGATCAGTATTATGCTTTGAGATAGTCAAGGTTTGGTGTTCAATCTTGGAAGCTACATATATCTCATCATCCTTGTCTATTGTGTAGTAAACAACGAGATACTTGATAACTCCTGCCCAAGTATCTCCAAATGTGTTATTGGTTGCCTCTACTCTCAAGAACGTTCTTTCAGTATTCAGAAATTCTTTAACTTTTTCAGTAACATCCTCAGGGCCATATGTAGCAGCCAAAATATTAATACCATCCTGTGGAACATATTTACAAACTTCCTTATTGACAGCCTCATGTCTCCGTTTTCTAACGATTGAACTTAATGGACTATTTGCTTCAAATACAATGGATGAATTCAATTCCTCAATGATATCAACCCTTAAGAGAGCATGTTCCTCACAAACTTTAACTCTTGGTTCACTCCATTGACCACTCTGCAACTTGACTCTGTAGACCAAGGTAAAACTCTTGAAAACATTTGGCCATGGATCTCCAAACACTGAATTTGAGGCATGAACAGTTAGCTCATTTCCAGTCTGCTTATCAAAAATATCAGCAACTTTTTGAGTACATTCCAATAGCCCATAAACAGCCAACACCACTTGTATTCCATGTTTTTTGCAAGTATGTGCGTTTAAACTCTTTGTAATCTTTCTTGTTGCAAAAGCTGAAAACTCCCCACTAAATATTTCATACCATAATTCATTCCTTTCATCCTCGACAACCAATACCAAGGCCCTTTGTATGGTATTCAAATCATCAAAACATTCTACATTTTTAATATTCATCACCATATTAAATTCAGCCTTATTTTCCTGAAGGAATCGGAAGTATTGGGTAACATTGGTCTTACCATAGGAAGCTCCGATCACTGATTTACAGTCTTGCAATGAAGGAGATGATGCGGCAGCAGCACTACCCTTACGAAATCGTTTCATTTTTTTTGTTCTTATTTGCAAGTTCATAAGTTCATCACTTTTATTCCATTGAATATTTATTTCTGGATTTTAATATATTATAATTATTAAAATGATGTAATTTTTTATTTTCTATTTGAAATAAGTGAGAGAAAGTAATTGTGCAGCAGATGGTCTTTGCTTTGCATCCTTCTCTAACATTTTCAAAACTATCTGAATTAATTCTTCAGAATATTCATTGTGAGCTGTTTCCTTCATTTGATTTGTCAAAATTTTAATGGCATTCTCTGCTTGATTTCCCATAAGCAAGTTACTGATCGAAGTTGCTTGGTCGTTGGTCATGATTTGATAGATTGAAATTCCCAAAGAGAAGATATCTGTGTTAAATGAATATGAACTTCCAAGTGCAACTTCTGGACTCATATCTTATGAAGGGTTTAGTTTAAATTAGAAATGAATAAACTTACAAAGTGGAGTGCCAGCGTAGGAATGACCTGACATTTCTTGATACTTTTTGGCTAATCCAAAATCTGCCAATACAATTTCTATATTATCACTCGACAGTTTCTTAATAAAAATATTAGTTGGCTTAATATCTCTGTGAATAATGTGCATTTCTTCGTGAACATATTTCAATGCGCTCAACATTTGTTTCAAAATTTGCTTTACAATCTTTTCCCTGCAATTATCTGTGTTCAATTTAGATAAATCGCCCAATTCATAAAAATCCATGTCAATAATCAACAAGTTATCATTGGTAATGAAATAGTCATTAATTTTGATAATATTTGGATGTTTGATATTGCTTAATTGGGATGCTTCTTTCATTATTGTGTTCAGGTCTGTCAATGATTCAAATTTAACAGTCTTGATTGCTTTCGGTTTGTTTGTTTTCAAATCGGTCACTTTGTAAACGCTTCCAAAAGCTCCTTGACCAATTCTTGAAATATTGGCATATCTGGAAAATGGATTTGCCGTATCAGAACCAACGGAAGAACCAGCAGATGAGGATATAATCATTGAACTAATAGAAAGGAAGGTGGTTTCGGAAAGTTCTACATTTCTAGTATCCAATTTAGCTAGTTCAAAATCCTTCTTCCTTTTCTTGGAGAAACACATGAATAGTACAATGATCAATATCAAAACTGTAAGCAAAATCAATATAAATGCAACAACTGGTATGACAATAGCAACTATTAACACTGTAGAATCTTGAGTTTTCTGAATTTCACAAAACTGTCCTTCAAATCCACTCTTACATTGACAAACATTAAAATCGGAACATTGCCCATTTCCATTACAAACATTTTCACTTATTGCCAATGTTCCATTACAGCTCAATTTGGCATCACATGTATTATTCCAAGAATTATAAAGGTAGTTTTCACCACAATATGGAATAACTTTTCGAATATATACAGAATCAATGAGAAAGATTTCTCCCGTGCCTTCATCATAGTCTACTTGTTTTGAGAACAATGTAAACATTGAATATGTTCCAAATCCATCCCCATTGAATTTTGAGGCTACAGATCTTGACCCAGCAATATCCAATAGTAATCCACTTTGATTCTGATACATTCGAACAATACAAGCACCAATGCCGTCCAAAATAATTACATCTCCATTCTTTTTCACATAGAGAGCAGATGGATTGTCGATGGATGATTGGAGTGCTGGTAATTTGTCTCCTGAATATCCTGCAATAAAATTGCCAACTATAGTTCTCAAATAAAAAGTACCATCAGATAACTTTTCAATTCTTCTAATGGTAGATGACGTACAAATATACAAATAACCATCTTGGTAGAGAATATTTGCTATTAGTCCAGGAATTGTTGCATTATTAATTATTCCATCAGAAGAAATTACGGTACCAACAATAGAAAAAGCAAACTCTAATGAAATGAATTGAGTTTTCAGATTATATCTAAAAATGGAAGAAGCTGTGGAAAAAAGTAAATCACCAGTTGTCTCATCATAAGTCATTCCTGTCATTGCTGTATTAGCAGCTGGGCAAGGAGAATCAGTTCCTTTAACACCAACCACAAACATGCCACATGCATTTCCAATAAGTTTTTCAAAACTCACGGTTTTCGGGTCGATTCTAATAATTCTACAAGCGTCCTTAATGTAGATTTTTCCATCAAACTTTGAAAAGAGACCATATGGCCTTGACACAGATGGCTGAAGATTCAATGTTAAATAGGGTGTATCGAATGGAGTGGTTATGCTAGTAAACAGTGATGTACTGAGAGAGGTTGACTTTCCGGTTGTTTCATCAAATTTCTTTAAAGTCCTATTATCAACAAAGTAGATCACCTTCTTAGATGAATCTCTCATTAAAAGACCTGGGACTAATGTTCTAGAAATTGGGCTAAGTCCAGCTATTGTTGTAATTTTCCCATTCGAAAGTTCACTAATATGATAAACATTAGTCACGATAATGCTAGAGCTTTGTCTAGTAGCTCTGGGAGAAAATCTAGATATTATTGGAATTGGTTTCATATGAAAATATAATTGTACTTACAGGGCAGAATTTTCTATTGGAATATTCTCACCATTGTATCCAACAATAAAATAAGCTGAATTTGAAACATTATAGTAGTCCAAGCCTGAAATTTTCTTCAGTGAATGGGTTTCTAATTGGTAATCATAGAGTTGACCAGCATTCCAAAAAAATAGAGAATTGTTACCATTCATTGAAAACCCAGTAAAAGAAAAAGATGATGGTATAGGCATAGTAACAACTGTTGTTGATCCATTCTTAAAATCAAGATATTCGTAAAGAGTGTTCAATACAGTTGAATAAGTAAATACTGAATTACAATTAGGGTATCTTAAATTTGGAAAAACAACAATTTGATCAACAATACTCGTTGGAATTGGTAATAAATAATACACAATTGTTGATTTTTGAACAGCTGTTATATAATTACTATATCTGACATAAATTGTAGAATTGTTAAAAGAATCTCCAATTGCAGCCAACGAAGGATAAATTTGTGAAGAGGAAAATGCTAATGTCAAAATTTGAGTTTCCAAATTGAAATTGTAAATAGAATATTCACTTAAAAGTAATACATCACCATTTCCAATATAAAATACAGTAGTAATAGGAAGGTAAATACGTTGTGGAATGCCTGCACTGTACTTGATGGGATAGTCTCTATGACAGCCCAATACCGTTTTCATCTTTCCATTCGAAACCTTTCTAAGGAACCACAATTTTTCAACAAAGTACAACTCATTCTTATGGTAGAATGGAAAATTAATATCACCTCCTGAATACATTTGGAGAGGCGAAATGTCTTCACCGTTTGGATGATTAACTATTCCACCTGATAATGTGGAAACCATTTTGGTTTGTAAATCAATCTTTCGAATGCATCTATTCGATTTATCTGCCACTATTAATGTATTTTGAGTGACAATCAAAGAGGAAGGTTCATAAAAACTGATATTAGGAGAATTATATAATTGATTATCTCCACCATATCCCTCTGAACCTCCAACAAAAATTTGAGTTTCGGCTGAATTCACTAATTTCATTTGTACAAAATTATTACTTTGAGATGAAGCGTAAATTTCACCTCCATTAGAAACATAGACGCCATATCTTAGAATTGGTTATCAATTGAATCATTCAATTATTCACTTACAAATTAGATTGAGCCACTCCTCCATCCACAATTCTATACTTTCCATTTTCATCAATTGACTTGAGTCTTTCTGCATCTGTGAAATAGACAATATCCTTATTTCCATTAGAAACAACGAATATATTCTTTGGAGATTGTAATTTCAAAAGCTTGGCATCTACACCATCATAATCACCATTTAAATAACCACCTCCTCCAATAACGGAAATTTGTGATGTTGAAATTTCGTATTTTTTGATTAAATTATTATCTGTATCCGAAATGTATACAAAGCCATTCACAGAAACATAAACACCTCTTGGATTATTAAACATGTGTGCAATAGATGTTGTTCTGGTTCTATTAGAAACTATTCTAATCCTATTATTGAGTGAATCAGCAATATACAAATCGCCATTCACTGGATTCACAGATATAGCTGTTGGTGTATTCAATAATGTACCCACAGCCTTCAATCCATCTCCATTGTATCCATTCGTTACATAACCAGCATAAACCTCCACCAATGACATGGTGTTAAAAATCCTAAAAACTACATGTCTCTCTGCATCCGAAACAAAAACATCTCCATTCAAGCCAAGACACAATCCAGTGGGAGACAACATGTAGGCATTCTTTGCCTCCACTACTTTATCCAAAGTATTGTAGAAACCATCAAGTGTTTGTATATAATAATTGACAGGTGTAGATAAAGAAGATATCACTGAAAGATTCGTCAAGAATCCAACAAGAAGAAGAAGAAATAAACAAGTGTGTGTCAAAGGACTGGACACAAAACAACCACTCATGTTATAACAATTACGTTTTGTTACTTTTTTTTCTTTTTACAATTCCACTTTTGTTTGGTCAGGACTGAGGGGAATTGCGGGGAATCATGTTGAACAATGTCATCCTTTGTTGGTAACACAACAACAATTTATAGATATTAAAATCGTTGCACTGTCAGATTTTTGTCCATGTCCTTGCAAGTTCCTGAATGGGGACAAAACACCAATAGCTTTCAAGCACCTGAAATGAACAATTTTTGCTCTAGGTAGTTCTCTTGGTTTCTGAAGGTTTACAAAATCAGTACTCACTACAATATTTTAATATTTAGTGAGAGCTGAATTGCGCAATTTGTTGTAAAATTTTTTAAGGTAACTTTTTTAAAAAACCTTAGAAAAAAATGGCAAGAAAGCAAAACAAGAAGAAGCACAACTCTTCTTTCATAGATAAGGGTTGTAACAACCCAATAAATCCACCCCAGGAATTTAACATCTATTCAATTTGTCCAGAATACATGGAAAAACTAAATCAAAGAATTTGCAATAATCTTCTCGATAAGTTTTTGGTAGAGTTTGAACAGGAGAGCCTTAAAGATAGTAAGGAAGAAAAATTCAGAAAGTGGAACGAGATGATTGCAAAGTTGAACAAGGTTGTTGTTCCTAAGAAAACGAAACTATCGAAAAAGAAAACAAGAGTTTCAGTTCTTCCGACTGTTGATTCGCCTTTGAAAACAACACTTATGGAAATAAGGAAAGAGTGGATTCAAAAACTGCGAATCAAAGAAAGTAAAAAGAAAGAAACCACAAGAACATCAGGAAGAGTTATTATTCTCCTTGATAGAAGCATTTCTGATCAAAGAATTACGAAAATCTATTCCGATATCTCCAGAGAGATTGTTGCCAATAATAATTACAAGTACTTTCTGCTTAATGTGTTAGAACACGGCTACCGTGGCTACCACGATTGGTCAAAGGTTCCAAGAGAATATTTAGCTGATGAATACTTTATTAGAAAGTTAATTTCATTTGGCTCAAGCTTCTATGACATTTTACAATACATTTCATATTCAATTTGGAATAATCAAAGACTTATCATTTCATTCTTAAAGAAAACAAGGGGAGATTGCTTTAGTAGTTTTCCAAATGATATGAAAAACCACCAAACATTTGCAGAGGTTGCTGTTAACATGGATCCAAAAAATATGAGATATACTAACCTTAATTCAAAACCAGTTTTTGTCAGGATGATGGCTAAGGAAAATGTGAAATGCTTGCCTTACATTGATCATCAATTGTTATTTGATCAGAAGTTTATGGTTTCTCTCATGTTAGAATTGAATATTAAGAATACGGATTTATTTGGAAAGAAATATCGTTACAATTAAAGAGTGTAATGAATTTATAAACTTCTACTGTTTAACTCTTTTAGAAATATCAGTTTCTTCAGTCGATTCTCTCTTTCTCTTCTCAGTTTCTTCACTATTGTAGTTTCTCACAATGTTTTCAATCACATTGTATGCTTCTAATATTTTCTTATTTTCAAAGCCCTGCTTATCGAATATGTAATCAAATCTATGGGCTAATGATCTTGGCTCAAAGAATCCTCTCTCAGCCAGTTTACCAATGAGGGATGGATGGTTATTGAGAAGAAAATTGAAAAATTCTGTAAAATCCTTCTTGAAATTCTTCTCATAAACATCCACAAAGAATAATTCAATATTAGCACATGCTCTTTCTTCATCTTCTACCCTGACTCGGAGAGTATCTATAATAAGATCACTAATTAGTCTGGAATAGGAATAGGTAACGTGTGTCATTGTACTGCTTGTAAATTTAGGTAATTTGTAGAAATAATGCTTTTCCAAGAGATTCCATAATTGAGTATTTGAGTAGTGATTAACAATTGCTATGCAGAAAAATGAATACACTCTGTAAGATACATCAAAGAGATGACCTCCATTCTCAAGAATCATTTCAACATTTTCAATCAAATCATCCTCATCCTTTGAAAATGCTCTTTGCAGTAAAGTATCAACAAGAGTATTAGAGAGGATTCCATACATTTTCAAAGAATTATCAATGAGTGTTCTTGTGGGTACACTCTCATCATAATAAGACGGAGTACTAAGTGGTACTAGAGTTACATGTTTTGGAATTTCGATTCCATACTGCAGAGGCCCAAAGTGAGAAAGACCTTTTGTGTAATTTAATCCCATCTTTTCCATTAAAACCAAATCTTGTTCAGTCAACTTATCCTCATTCTTATATTCGCCAAAACGAACCAAATCATGAAATACTAATTTGATAGATTTTGATTTTGCTCTTCCACAAAACATTCCTTCAATATCAGATAATGTCATTCTACAGGATTGAAATAAAACACTCCTCAAATTGGTGCATTTAGAAAAATTCAAAGATTTAGCTTCGAATGAACATCCAACAAATGAAATATGTTCCACAGTCTCAAAAACAGTACAATCACTCATCCTAAATGTTATTCTATCGTTTGTGTTTTCTCTAATCGTCCTCTTATCATACATTAAATTATCCAGTAAATCCTTTGTAATATGCAAATCAGAAAAGTGAATTCTTTTTGCATTTACAAATACAGTACTCAATAAATTTCTAAATTGTTTTAAAATTAAACTTTTTGATGCCTTGTCACGAGAGGGAATTTCCTTCTCATCAGATAAAGCTGTTAGTTTAATTCTGGTTGGGAAGGAATTAGAGGTTATAGCAGACGAATCAAGTGCAAAGGCCGAAAGTGCAGAGAGTCTATTTTTTCCAGCAGTTTCTATTCGAAACTTTAACCATCTGGTCATCCGAAACTCATCATAAATTGCCAAGTGTTGTAATGCTCCTTGATAAAAGTATGAATTGACCATTTGCATCCGAATACATTGTTCTACATTCAAATAGGAACAAATTTCTTGTACAACATTTGCTGTTATAGTATCATGTGAAAACAAGAGAGATTGCAAAAAATATTACAAACTAAATCTTTCCACTACTTCATGAATTACCTACCATCTAAATGTACCACTTTTGATTTTGGCATTTTTTATTGAGTTTGTGAATTGTTACGTTTTTTTTACAATATGAGATAGTTCATTGAATTGGTCATCCAATCAATACAATAAAAATCAGAAATTACAAATATTTGATTGATAATTTCCAATCTGTTGGTGCATTTCATTAAATTGGAAGGAGGTTGCAAGTAAAGAAGGTCAACCAGGTCATTGAGATCTGATTCATTGAGGGTAATGTCATTGTTAAGGATTATTTTGGAGGATAATCTCTCATTGAATTGTCCACTGATGAGTTTGGAGAAGAATTGGGAAGTGATTATGCAAATTTCAGAGTCAATGGAGAGTTTCAAGTTTCGGTTCGTTTCTAATGTCAGAGTTAAATCACCCTTTCGTTTTCCACTTTTAATTTCCTCTCTCAAATAGGAAAAATAGTCCAATAAATCTTGCAATGGAAACTTAAAGTCAACTAAGGAAGCATGTTGAGAATCATTAGTTGAGTTTCTGACTTCTTCACAAATTGGCCTCAATCTCGGAATGGATTCGCATAACATCAATTCCTCCTCAACATTATCCTTATTCGAAATTAGTGATTTTCTAATCCTATTAATGAGATAGGGATGAAGAGTTTGTTCTAATTTTTTGAATTGTAAAGTTGCCCTGAAAAGTTCAATCAAATCCAATAATTCAGCATTCAATTCTTTTCCTACGAGCCAATCTTTCAATAATTCAACACAATTAACACTTGTTTCCATCTCAATTCCATTCTTTAATTGATCTTCCTTCATTAGTTCACTTTCGTCCAATCTTTTCATCAAAATTAAAGGTATCAAGGATACGAATCCTTCTCTCGACTTTACAGGAATCTTTTTCATTGGTAAATTCGAATCTAGAAACCTTTCCATACCACCAATCAACTCTTGTTCACCACAAATCTGTAAATCCAACTCAACCAAGGTGTCCAGATGAGGTTTCTCAACGCATGGATTATATCCACCAATTGAATAGCATTTCTTTTCAGAAAATATCAGAAACGAATCATAGTACATGTTCAATAAATTTGAATTGCTAATCTTGTACCATTGATTGGTGTGAATGTCAATAATCATCACTTCATTAATGTAATGTCTTCTGTCGTAGTGATCATTAATTAAACCATTCGAAACTATTAAATATCGATCCATGAATAAATTACCTCCCTTATTGTAAGATTTGATAAATTGTCGATTATCATCATAAGAAATGAATCCTGATTTAACTAAATTTGGAGCACTAAATGCAGACCATTCCTTTTTTTGGAAGGAATAAATGTGGAGGGAGTTGGTGAGAGGACCGAAAGGTTTCTCTCTAGTCTTACCTGCATAGATTATCAATTCATCCTTTGATTCACAATACACAGAGGTGTGATAGGCAAGTTTAGTAAATTGTGGAGCAGTGGACGAAACTCTTTCGTTTGATGTAGACGAAAGAAGAGAAGAAGCAGAAGAGAAGAGCACACTTGGTACTTGAAGCATGGGATTCGCTGGTTTGATATTCATATCTTCTGATAGAAATTTCCATGTTTGACTGTCAAGATTAATCTCAATAATCTCATTCGAATATTGATCAGTGTTATATTCGTAACCTGCAATAATGTACAGACAATCCTTTCGAATAAAACTTGAATGACCCTCTCTTCTTGGAAGTCTTTCCCTCGAATAGATATTTTTCTTTGAGATTCGAACAGGGTTTAGAATCGTCCATTCTTCAGTCTTTACGTCAAATTCGTATAGATTATTTGAGGAAATAACCGAACTTGTTCTTCCACCGAATACGTAAATCTTGTTTCGTTTAGGACAAGCACTCACCGAGTGATAGAAACAAGGATTCAGATAAATTCTACTATTAGTTGGAAGTTGATTCGTCTGATTGTTGGTAGACGAAAGTAAAGAAGGACCAACAAGTTGATTCTCAAATTCTCTACACTCTATGAATGATGGAAGTACTTTCCACTTTTTACTTTCTATATTATACTCCAAGAAACTATTCGAATTCAATTCTTTCCTCGTACTCCCGCCAAAAACATATATCTTTGAGTTTAGAATAACTGCCTTGTGTAGATGAATCCCAAATGGAAGGGAAGAAGGTAAATCATTGGCGAGATTAGGATTATTTGTTGATTTTCTAATGGAAACTCGAGCCAAATCTTGTTTTTCCTCATAATTCGAATGTGGTTGAAAGAGAATTAAATCAGCACCACTACTTGATGAAGAATCTTTTTGTAATTCTAACCAGTTTCCAACAGGCTTTGAGTTTCTTCCAAGTTTCGACTCTACACTTTGCAATACTCCCATTTTTTAATTTGACTAATTTACAAAAAAGGAATTTGTAAAAACGTCGTTATGTGTATTGAAAATGTTAATATTCTTCAATATTCCAATTAAATACTCGGTCATTCTTATTTTCGAATGTAATTATCTGAAACTTTTCTATCTACTCTGTTTACAACAATATGAACTTTGCTTTTCTTCATTTTCCATCTGGAACTTTGAAAAAAACATTTTTAAAATTAAATTGCTTTGAGGATCCTCAATTTGAACTTTGAAAAAAAATGAGCAAAAACAAAGCTAACAATAATTCTAACAAATCTACTGCACAAATTGTGGATAACAAATTGGACATGTCGAGTGTGAAACGTTATGTACCAAAGCAAAGATCTGCAATGGCAGGACTTAAGGAGACAGTTCAGAATAATTCGGAGAATGGAGTGGTGACATTGGCAGGTAATAAGTTTAAAACACCCAAGTCAGTATTGTGTTTTATTCCACCAGTTGAAGTTTGGGAACCAATTCAAGAAATTAGAAATAAGTATGCAAATGTTGCAAGATGGGTAAGTTGCTAATTTGACATGTTTTGATGATTATTGACATTCAATAGCCACAACCACACATTTGTTTATTGTACCCTTTCGTTCCGAGTGAATTATTTGATGAAGCTGAAACTCTTTTGAAACCATCTCTTTCAAAAATCAAACCATTTGAAGTGACTCTTTCAAAATTTTCATATTTTAATACAATTGACCATTTGACAACTAAAGGACAAGGAACAATTCACTTTGAACCAGATAAGGACAGTTATGAGAAGATGAAAATTGTACAAAAAACATGCTTTGATTTATTCCCATATTGTAATGCCTTAACAAAGAGAGGATCTTTCAGACCTCATTTAAGTGTTGGAGTTTTTGACATTGACACTCTGGATGAAACAATGAAACAATTCAAGAGTGAATGGAAGGATTTGACATTTACATTGGATCATGTTTGTTTGATGAGTAGAGTGGATAATGAATCACCATTTGTTATTTCACATAGAATTCCATTCGAAGGAAAATAACTTGGTGGAATTTCATCAACTTTCGTTTGATAAATAGATTGCCAATTCGTTTTTGAAAAGGGTGGAATAACATTGTTGCTTGGCATTTAACATGCTACTAGTTCATCAATAAACTCTACTCTTTTTTTGATAAACCATAGCTTTCACCACTTACTTAATCATCCAATATTCCTATTGGTTTCATGGATGCTTGATAGTAATCCCAATCTTCATGATTATTTCTATCATGATGATTCTTTTGACAACAATTCTTCCAACATTGAACACAAGAGAGGGCAATATTCTTTCCCTCTATTGGATTTGAAAAGTAAATTAAAACATTAAAGAAACCAACCAGTGGTGAAATAATTGTGTGAATTAAACTCATGTAATTGGAATAATCTGTATCAGTAATGAAAAAGTTTGAAATTCTGTGAAAGGTTGGGATTATATAAATGAGAACCATCATGATTGGATATCCCATCAATTTAGAATAGGCCTTAATTCTCTTTCCTTTTCTGTGATCATCATCTCCGATAGTACTCATACCAACTTTGAGTATAAACAATGATAAATTAACTTCAATTATTGAAATACTACTTACCCTTTCCGAAATTCCTGCACACCTTCGCCAACACAATCATATACAACACCAAAACAAGTATAATTGAAATCCAGAGAGGTCCATAAAAAGCACCATAAGTCCAAGTAACTCCCATTGGTTTGTTCTGATCTATCCAACACCACTTTCCAGAATTTCCATAAGTACTTCCAATGAAAGGTAATCCAGTTAATAAACCAGAAACAAGAAAGACAATTGTGATGGAACAACCTTCAAATAAAAGTACTGATTTCTTCCTTGTTAATTTCCTTAGCACAATGGATGAGAAGAGAAAGATGGCAATTACAACACTCCAAATGAAGAACCCTACAGAGAAGAATCTGTATCAATATTCAGCCATGATTATTTCATCACCATCATCACATGGTAAATTAATTATGATCAAATCATCCAAGATATTCCTTAGTAAATAATAAGAAGAAATAACAACACTTACTGATTACAAACAGCCTGAAATATACACACCCAATCTTGATCCGTCTTGTAGGCTGTATAGAGTGTTAGCAAGTGATTCAATGAAGCAAATAAGAGAAAGGTTTGCAAATAGGACAAGAACCTCACTGATGGAAGCTTAAAAAACCTCCTCCGAAACACCACAATCACATAAATCAAGAATGAAAAACATGCAAGAGCACTCAGAAAGCCAGAGCATGCTCTCGCAAGTGCAATTGCTGTTTTCCACATATCTGGCGTCATCATATTTTCTTTTTTTCTTCCAATAACAAGATTTACTCTGTTGCTCTCCGAACTGTAATGATGAAGATATTATATCAGATTGAATGATAATCTCGCTGGACTAGTACGATAATTATAGACGAGAGCAAACAAAGGGATACTTACTCCTCTCTTTAATATAATCTTGTTATTTATTGTTGGTTGTTCTTCACTTTAAATAACATAAAGTCTTCAGGGTTGGTATCAGTCAACATTTAACAACATCAAAACCAATAAATGATGAAGATTATTACTTCTGTCAATTACCGATTAATGATGAAGAAGTGGTAAAACCCCCATGATGAGTATTCCGTGTTTTAATTGTTTAATGTAAATTACATGTTGGTGATGCTGTTGACTGGAGAGGTGTGAATTAGCCAAACATTTTATTTTTTTTAAATTTTAAAATCATTATTCTTATTTGTAACGACTTGTTTAATATTATTGTAAATGGCATGACTTTTTTTGTTTTTTCTTAAAAGCAGGATCATTCCACATATTGATACCTCTGACCATCACTTGGTGAAGGTCAGCCATTCCACTATTGTTAATAGCACCTACTTCAACATAGGTGAAACATCCCATTCTTCTGGCCAGCAGTATTCCTTGCTCAGTACTTGATGGTTTTCTATGTCTCTTAACCAGTAGCTCCCTTCTCTTGATTGGATCATCCCTTAAATCAGTTTTGGTACAAATCAGAATAATTAGACTATTTGGATGGAGGCGATTGATTTCAACAATCCATTTCGAATAAACGTTACGAAGGGAGGTCTCTAATGAACAGCTAAAGCAAATACAGAACATGTCAGTCCCAGGGTAAATATATCTGCGCAATCTTCAATGTTTTGTTATAATAATTTAAAATCAATTGACTATTTGATAATTACCTATCGAATTCTGTAAATCATTCAATGAAGAGAATATTCTTAATTGACTTACCATAATGTCCTTCAGAATCATGTAATTCCAAATGACAAACTCTTTCATCGACCAAACAATTCTTTGAGTAATTGTCAGATGAAGTTGTTGGTAAATGTTCATATTGTGGAAACGAATCTGTACTAAACGTGTACAATAAACTGGTCTTACCAACAGTGTCATCTCCTTAATTCCCAATAATTTAATGAAAATAATTGAAAATATTTCACACATACCCACTAGAACTATTTTGTAATGACTTGAAGTTACATTACTATTCAATTTGTAGTTTAGTATATCTTCCTTAGGTACATAAATATCATTCCACGCATAATAACCTTCAATTTCTCTCGTCAGCTCTTGCTGTTCTCTTTCTGCATTAATCATCCACTCTCCAACTAATTCAATCAAATGTTGCTTGTAATTTTCAGTATATTCCACATGTTTAGTATAAAGTTCAGATTGTAAAATCACAACATCATATGTTCCTGTTGTCTTATTCCATCGGTTGGTCTTACTGGCCTCCGAAAACCAATGAATCCTCTCCATGTAATAATCTTTCCAATATTGATCTTCTGTTGTCAGTTGACATATTCTCAATTGTTTAGAAGCTAATTGTAATTTACACAAATCTGTAATTTGCAGGAAGGAAAGAACCAATCGGAAAATGTCATCATTCAGCACAGAATTATTAATGTTGAATTCCGACTGTTTCTGTTTTTTATGTATCATACTTTTAATCAAAAAAAACACGTGAAATTTGTTCTGTTGATTGTGATGATATTTTTTTGAGAATATTGTAAAGGTGTTTGTAGTTGTTCTTAGTTCATCATATTAGCACAAGTTAACCACTACTGGGTAGGGAAGGAAACTTAGTTTTGATTTTTGTAAACAGTTGGCAACTGGCCTATATTCATTGAGTTTGTTTTGATGGATAAATTTTGTTATGAGAGTGATGAATTAATCTTTAATTTTAAAATTCGAAAAGTGGAATTCTTCATATTATTTAGAACTGTGAACTTGGTGTGAACCACCTGCTTTAAAAAGAAGAATGCAAACTTCATCTCTTACAACAACATATCAAAAAGAATACCTCCACAACAACAAGATGCAACAACAACCAAAAGTCAACATTATCGAGCAAGGAAACATTTGGACCATTGAAAATCTTTACTCACCAGAAGAATGTCAACAACTCATCAAGATTTGTGAATCGAATGGATTTGTGGAAGCTCCATTCAATGCCAATATGGCCAAAGATACAAGAAATAACGATAGAGTGATTCTTGATTTACCACAACATGCTCAATTGTTTTGGGAAAGAGTTTCACCTTATTTACCTCAACATGCTTCTCAATTGGGAAATCAAGTATTGGAAAGTAATGCAAAATCTGGATTTCAATTGTTAAATCCAGGATTTTCGAATAGATTGAGATTCTACAGATATAAGAAGGGTCAATATTTTGCTCCCCACACAGATGGTTGTTATTTTGATAATAGAGATAAATATGTGGACCAGTCATTCTTGACAATCTTGCTCTATTTGAATGATGTCAATAATGCTGGAGGAGAAACTAATTTTATTCAAAATGGAATCAAACATAGTGTTCAACCAAAGAGTGGATCTGTGTTGATATTTGTGCATTGGAATTGTCACGAAGGTGCTGAGGTGACATCTTCTAATGCTTTGAAGTATGTTATGAGAACAGATGCAGTTTTTAGAAGAATTAAATAAAAATCAATCTGATCTGATAGACAGATGTAAAATTGTTCTGAGCCTCAAAGCAAAATCAATTGCATTAGCCGGGAGTCGAACCCGGGTCACCAGCTTGGAAGGCTGGTATGATACCGTTACACTACTAATGCTCTTGTCCCTTAATAATAATTCCCAACATTATTAAAATCTATTAAGGAACAGAATTGCCACCAAAATAATGCAAAGCAAAATTTCAGACGCAGACTGCAGGATTCGAACCTACGAAGGTTTCCCCAACAGATTTCAAGTCTGTCGCCTTAACCACTCGGCCAAGTCTGCTACATTTGGGTAAGAAATATTACAAATTTGTGCAATCTAACAATGACTGTTTTAGATGTCATTCAAAATTTATTGATTGGATTCCTTGTAGGATTGAGCTACTAACTTCATTAGTTCTTTTCGATCGAGATGTGGATTCTTATCTTTTAGTTTCTTGTAATTTTCCTTCATAAATAAATTATACTTGGTTGGTTGCTTGGTTTTTCCAATTGGTTCCAATATTCCAGTGCAAACTCCACACCTTTGTTTTGTGGTATCAACAGATTTGGAATGTCTCTTTACAATTGATCCACAATCCGTGCATTGCCACTGATATTTATATTCAATATCGTATGAGTGGCAAGTCGTGATTGGAATGTCAGGATAGTATTTCTGAATAATTCCACCATATAAATAAAATGTTTTACCATGGCCTGTAATGCCGTCGAACATAAATGAAGCAGCATGACACATTTCGTGAGCTAGTGTATGAACAAGTCTCTCTTCACAATCACAAACCTTTGTGGACATTTCAATGGCACATACCTTGATTTGTGATTTAGTGATTGTAAAGAGTTTACACAACCCAGCAGTTTTCCTCAAATGTTGATTCCATAATAAATATGCTTTCCCTTTCAGATCTTTAGCCTTACCCTTTGTAACTTTCATAGCTGGAAGTTTGTTTTGGAAGCATACCTTGTTGAATTCGTCATAATATTTCTGTAATAAATCATCTCTGACCTTTTTGAATTTTTTGGCATCCATCTTTTCAAAAGTTAATGTCTTTGAATTTTTGGAACTTTTTGCTGGCTTTTTGTTAGTTAATATGGATTTTTCATGGAAATCATCATCATCGTCATCAATTTCAATAACATTGGTATCAATCTTGTTTTTTGGGTTGGATTTTGTTTTCGTTTTGGATTTCTTAATTTGTGGACTTTCTGCTTCCATTTCGTCATAGTCCTCATCATCGTCATCATCCTCTCCACTACTTTCAGCATATTCCTCATCACTCTCCTCGTCAAAGTTGAAATCCTCTTCATCAGATGATATTGCTTCCTCCTCCTCCTCCTCAGAAGAATCACTCAGCTCAAAAGCATTCTTTTTCTTTTCCTCCTCCTCAAATTCCTCAATAATATCCTGCCCCACAATATCAGATTCTTTCACCCAAGTATTTTCACTACTTGGATATCCCTCCCATTTCACATAGTATTCAACAAGCTTATTTTTCACTCGTTTTTTAATGATCCTTTCAATGGAATAAACATCATCTTTCTCCTTATCCTTCTCAAAATCATATTCTTCCTCAGAATCTGAATGATCCTCAATCACTCGCTTTCCAAATGATTTTCTCGATTTTCTTCTCACTGGCGAAGTGTTTGCCATCTCTTCATCACTTTCATCATCATCATCGGAAATAGCAATCACAACTCTTTCATTAAATTCATTTCCAGATTTTCCGTGATGGTGATGATCAGCAGCTTCTTGAGTGGCTAATAGTGGTGGTAATGTTGCTTGCTCCTCCTGGAAATGTACAGTACTTCTTCTTGGTAATTCCTGCTCTTCTTCCTTCTTTAATAGTGCAATTGGTTGCTCAGGAAGAGTGTTATCACTTTCGGAAAGGAGACCTTTTGGAAGAATCGTCTCTGGATTCGAAAAGAAATCATGCCAAGTAATTGAACGCCATCCAAATTCGTTACACATGTTCAAGTATCGATTACGAGTTACTTCATATGAAAATTCTTGTTCTTGATAAATATTCATTTTTTTTAAATGTTAATTTTCCAAATATTTTGGCGCCAAAGTGATGTGCAATATTGATGAATTTATTGGAAATTAGCCATTTCATAGACCTCCTCAATGAGTGTAACAAAACAACTTCCTTAACTCACGGGAAATATATTAATTAGGAGTTTGGATTGGTTTGAGTAGTCCTTGGAGAGTTGGTGCAGACCAACAATTCATCTTTGATTTCAACATGATAATAGTCTTACAAATACTTTACAACATTATGTGGAGATGATCTCATCCGAATCATGGAGAGCTATTCGAGTCATACACTTCAATCCGGAGTTGCTCCTCTCTATAAAAGATAGTGAAACTTGTAAGCAACTCCATAACAATTGAAAAAAAAACTGTGATCGTAATGAAAACTTTCCAATCTACAACTATTGCAATCATTGCAGCAACATGCATGCTCATTGCCATGATGCTCTCATGCACCAATGCTCAACGTTTGTCTACTCAATTCGGTCACTTGATGAGCTCACAAGCTCTGATCAAGCAAATTAATTTGGATCCACAATCAACATTTAAAGCTCAATTGTATCCAAGATTTGAGTGGGGTCATGTGTTGGTGAAATTAAAATGAAGGTCAATGTGGTGCTGTTTGGGCAATGGTAAGTTTTTTAATTCCGATCTAAATGATCAATAATTATTATTTTGCAATTTCGAATATTAATTTTTATTGGAAACCATTTAGGTTCCAAGTGCTACAGTTTCTGATAGAATGTGCGTTCAATCGAGTGCTAAATTCCAAGAAAGATTATCCACCCAATATATTTTGGAATGTGATACTAGAGATTTTGGATGTAATGGTGGTTATTTGAATACTGAATTCGAATTTGAATTAAAGAGAGGTATTCCAACTGAAAAATGTGTTCCATACTCTGCTGTTAATGGTACTTTGGCTAATTGTCCATCCAAATGTGTCAATGGTGAACCATTAGTTTTATACAAGACTAAGGCAGTTCAAAACCTTACTGGAGAGCATGATATGCAACAAGCCATCTTACAAGGAGGAAGTATTATGACAGAACTTGACATGTATCAAGATTTCCTCTATTATTCCAGTGGTGTCTATCAACATTCTGCAAATTTGAGACAACCAATTGCTAAGTTTGTTGTCAGAATTATTGGATGGGGAGTTGAAAATGGTGTTAAATATTGGATTGTTCCAAATATTTGGGGTAAAACATGGGGAATGCAAGGTTATATCTGGATTCGTGTAAGTATTGAAGGAAATTATTTTTAAATTTAATTTATAATATTTATTACAATTATTGTAAAATAGAGAGGTAATAATGAAAGTAATATTGAAAAGGATGCATTCGCTTTCCAAGTTTACTAAACAACTTCATCCATACACAAACTATTCAATAAAATAATTGAGTTTTAAAATAATTATACCAAATCAATATATAATATATATACTCGTTTATTAATTCCATTTAATGGACATCCAATCATAT